TATACCTTCATCGCACCAAAGCCATGGATCTTATAGAAGAGGCCTCTGCGGATGAGCTTCGTGCCGTCGTCTTGGCGCTATGCAAGGACACATCGGTCCAGATACGGATCGAGGTCCATCTCAAAAAGCTCAGAGATGCCCAGTCGAACGCTGCGAAGACTGGCCAGAAGAGGAAGGCTGAGGAACAGTTCTTCATATGCGTCCGCTGCGGAGAGACTTTCAACGAGGAAGCCAACCATTCCAAATCCTGCACTTATCATCATGGCAAGTGTGCTTCGAGCGGGGGATACAGGCCCAGTACCTTGTTGACCAAACGCCATTCAGGGGAGATGGAGGTACGCGACGAGGAAGACTTTCTGGGCCGACCATGACGAGGATTGCCACGGCGTGATAGACACCGATGAGATGCGGGAAGAATTCCCTGAAGGCTTCACCTGGAACTGCTGTGATAAAGTGGGCACGGCTCCTGGGTGCACCAAAGGACACCACTATGCCATCGAGGGCAAGAGGATGAAGGTCGTCACGGACGGGGACTCGGTCTCTGATGAACTTGAAAGTAATGATGCCGACGATGAATAGTGTTTGAACTCAAATTTGGCTTCGCCATCTTTGAGACGTAATATGTAACAAAGGCATCTGACTTGTATCAAACCTGTGGAATTAGCTGGAATCCAGCCGAGTTTGGTAGTAGATGAGTCACAAACTTGATGCCATTTCCCCTACTCCAGACTCTCTTGCTTCTCGGCTGGAAAGTTTCCAAGTTGTTCAGCTCTGTAGTAGGGTGAAGTACAGCGTAATAACCCCTAGAACACTCTAGGCCATCGGGAGACATGTTAGAGAGGGGGCGATCACTTCAAAATGCTGGTTGACTGAACAGAATCCTGGGCGTCCATCGTCACATACTCAACCGGTAATAGATGTCTTTGTGCCGTTACATACCCGGGGGGGGCGAGGCACGGGTGTAAATCATCGAAATCTCACGCAAAAATACATGGGCCTCGCGCTTACCACTCCCTAGACAAATCAACTAGCATGGACAAACACTGTATAACCCAAGAGGCGATTTGTGAGATGCATACTTTATTGTCTATCTAAGTATATGTCCATCTTTCCAACACTTCCACTTCGTCGTCTTCTCCCCTTTAATTGCCTTCTGTATCCGGATACGGACATGGTGGTGGGGGAGGCGGGGGACTGTAATAGGTTAGTATGAGGTGCAAGCCCAAGGATTATCCGTTAGACAGGATATTGGCGATGATTACTTACGGCCGGGGCTTCGGAGTACATGGCCAGGGTCTCGGCGGCATGATGCTGTGATAATTTACTTTGAACAGCTAATGTCTGGGTAGAGGTCCGCTTCTGTCTACGTTTTGCTTATGATAGTCTGAAAGTCGTCGTTGAACTTGAATGGTGCTGAGTTCTACCGTACAATTAGATGAACTGACGTCGGATTTTATATAGTCTTATCTTCAAATGCCTGTGATTTGAACTGGTCAATCACAAATAGCCATAAGGAAGTATGACTGCCTTCTTGTCTATACTTGTTGCGAGCTGGGCACATCACTGCGCTTGGGCAACGTTGACTCTGGTACTGACAGCACTCAATCCCGGAGTCAAGGCTCATTAGCCACTCAAAGTGCGGTCTCATAATTAGTTTGCAATCAAAAGCCGTTCACAGCATGTAAAACTCTCCAGTCACTCGTTCGTTGACATCATAGAGCTGCAGCTGTCCAGAAGACAGTAGTACTGCATTTGAGTAATACCCGGTCTAGAAGAGAGAGATGGCGTTCACAAGAAGACACGTCGCCCTTTCAGTACACAAGAATCTTGATGGAGTACAAGGTAACATTTTCGCTAGGTCGTTATCGCAACAAAAGTTACTCGAGTGTCCGCTACGCAGCCAAATCATCTGAAAGCCAATCAGTGCTTAATGCCTAATCTCTTGTCGCGTAACCTCCTATGGGACAACCCGTTTATGTATGACCTGCTTTGAGATAATATCCTATACTCCTAGATGACAACGTCCTGTGGAATAGCCTCCAATCGGACAACCTCTATCATGAATATCTCCTGTAGAATAACCTTCTATGGGATGCCATACTCAGTATGTGGCTGTGTTACGGTAATAGCTGAGGTGATTTCGGTTCTTTAATAGTTACAACATTATGTCTATCATCACATGACGAACCAAATATAGAAGTTGGCGAACTATGGCGTTCTAAAAACTGCAGACGATGCACACAGATCTTCACAATGATCCACGGCCCAACGGAGCGTCGCTCCCATAGCTAATCGGATCGGTGCACACTGGGTCAGCTGATATGAAATGCTCTTAACCGCATCGTGACAAGTAACGGCAGCTGGACAAATTGTCTCATACCCAAGACATTGTGCTCACCACATCTTTCTCCCTTGACACCTAGATCCGGAAAAGAGCGGTCTATCGGTGCTCCAAGGTCTGACCAGAGAATCCCTAGCCGAGACCCCTAGTGTCACCGGTATCCTGAAGCAGCTGAAAACCCGCTTCCTTTCATAGGACGAACCAATAACAGTCCTATGGGCTGACAGGTGAGGACCTCGGGAAGACTGCCTCTTCCTTCCGGAGAAAGTATCTCGTTAATGATCCTGTGCTCAACAAACTTTTCCCTCAGGCCAAGGCAGGCCAAGACCCGTATTGGCCGGGGTCTGCACCCGGCTTCCGAACAGAGATATTGTGGGCCAGAGATCTGGGTCGAGAGCACTTGATGCTACCCACAGTGGTCCGATACAATGCATGCAGGCATGTACTATGTACAGTCACTGGAGGGGTATTCTCTTGGCAAGGCTCCCTCGTCAGACCCGATATCCGAATCAGCGTGATCTTTCTGCCTTTATGTCGGAGTTGCTTGCGGCTCCCTGCAGCAGTTTGGCCGAGAGGCGAGTATATATATGTGTGTGTGTCAGTCCAGAAAGAGCGACGTATCTGAGAAGTCCAAGTCCTCGGCCCTATCTTGCTTCACCACATTACAGATATTGACCTCTTAAGACTTGACACAACGTTCTGTACTTTACGTCTACCACTCACCAACATGAAGTCTTTCACTGCCGTCGTCGCTTTGCTGTCCAGGTGAGCCGAGCCTGCCCCAAGACGGGTGTAACCGGGCCACGAACCAAGGACTGACAAAAAAACAGCACACTGGTGGCAGCGAACCCCATCGAGGTTGCACCTCGCCAGGATATCACCACCGTAATAGTCGAGATCCCGACCAGACTTCCTGCGTACTGCACGTTCCGGCCAACAGCAACAGTCACGGCGGACACGGGCTGCCCCACGTCGTGCACGAACTCTGGGTTGTGTTTTGCTGACGGTACGTATATCACCCCGACTTACTTCTGGCCCCCAGGCAAGGATTGAGTCTTGGCCTGGGCTCGCCTATGTCACCTGTGGAGGATCGCACGCTGACAGGTTTTTTTGTCTTGCCATCAGCGGCTGTGACGTTGGAATGCGGCTGCCCGAGTATGGCCGTGTCGCCCACCACGACGACTGTGTGCCCCACCGCGACGGGCTCATGCAGGAATTGCCAGACCGGCTGGGGAATCATCACCATCACGCCGGACGACTGCGCTAATGTGACCCCGGTTCCTCTCCCGACGGTCATCGAAGGGTACTAAGCGCTGCAGTGGTATGCTGTGGTGGAGAGGTAGTACGAAATGCCCAGGGCGGACTTGACCAAGTGGTCTGATGTTGTGGGACTGCCCACAGAGGATCAGTGCAGCGACGAAAGAGGAAAGGATGAGGAGAAGGGCAACATGCTGTGGCTGTGTGAGGTCACAGCAGCTCACCGGGTTCAATAGTTACGACCTGTGACGAAAACTGGAAGCAGTTACAGTCAGAAAACTCTGCTTACCGAGGGCTCGTATCAGCATTGGCGCGTCTAATGAGAATTTTGAATACGTACAATTTTCACCCTCGCCGGCCGGGCTAGATGCTGCTCCTCCTGCATGTCGTGGCCCTGCATACTGTACACAATAGACACATGCATGCAGGCGCCTCGATGCCCGCAAGCGGGTGGGGGCGGCGGCCCGGGGGGAGATGCAGCGTGGCCCCAGGCCAATCAGTTGAAACGTGCATGCCCAAAGGGGAAGTGGCAAGGGGCTCTTACCCCTCAGCTTGGAGCTCACTGCTTCCTCACCTGGGGCCGCCCTACCTGCCCTTCTGCTGGACTGTCTCCCTTGCCCGAGGAGACACCCTGTCCAACGTCATCCATCCTAAGCTGCACTTGTTGCTCCACGACACTTCATCTCGGCAGCCAGCTTCTCTCTCGTTTCCACGCCCCAGTGCAGCCGTACCATCTACTCAAGCTATGGACCAGCAGGATGACACGGCTCTCGGCCTACCTACATTGACGTGACGACCGTCTCCTTGCCTGCTCACCCCCGATCCCTGGCGCGGTCGTCTGGCAGCTGCCAACACCAACACCAGCAGCCAGCAGCCCAGAGCCATTGAATGCGCATCCTGGGCCCTTGACTGGCTCCGTCGTGGGAGACCATGCCGTCCGCCTCGTCTCTTGTCAGCACCGAGGATACGCTCCCGCTGCACCCGACTGTGCCACCCTCGACGATCCTACCCCGTCCACGGTTCGATGGCCCCCATGCCACGTCGGACGAATGCCTTCCACGATGAGCCATCCCACCACGGACGACACAAGATAGCGCGCGACGATACACATGTCACAATAGTGGTGGCCGATGCGCAGCTACCTCCACGGTCGATAGCACTGCAGGCGGCTTCCGGCGTTGGCGAGTCAGCACGTTGTTTCGCCTAACAGTACCCGCCTGCATTCCGCCTTCCAACATCTGGCGTCTTACAGACGCCCGGCTAGCTCAATCGATGGAGCGTGCTGCCTCGACGGTCGATTTCCCCTCCAGCCGGTTTCCGTTGTTAGCGAGTCAACCCGCGTTGTTTCGCCCATAAAGTGCCGTGCACGGTCTGTCTCCCAACGAACTGGCGTCTTACAGACGCCCGGCTAGCTCAATCGGTAGAGCGTGAGACTCTTACTCGTCAAGAACCTGTCGAGGACCTCACGATTCTGACAGGGACAGTGCATCTCAAGGTTGTGGGTTCGACCCCCACGTCGGGCTCAATTCCCGGCGATAATCGCCTCTTTTTTTTCTCTCTCTTTTTAGCCTCTGTTGAGTCAGAGGCATGCAGAGGTCGCACTCTGGTGTTATTTGGGCTCCCGGGCCCGCCCTGTCGTAGTGTGAGAGTAGGGGTGATTGTGATATTGAATGCCCGAAAGGCTTGGATGTAAGGCCCCCACTAACCCACGTTAGGCTTAAATCCCGTCGAGATCCCCTCTTTGTACTGTTTTCAGGTCCTTGTGCCACCCTTGGTCAGGTTACACAGACTTCAATTCCAGATCCCAGAGATGAGAGATGGAGAACCGGCCGGTGAAAGTACTTGACATACAGCCAACCCCTTGCATCGGGTGGAAACCCATGCTTGTTCACCATTCTGGATCGCAAGATGTCTGATTAAGCTATCTAGGCTCACAACCTCTGACAACCAAAATGCTTGATGGGCCTGGATCAATGCTAATTTATAACTTCTTCCACAATAATTATTACAATGGTCCTTGTGTCTCATGGCATCAAGGGCACAAGTTGACTATGAAAAATTGTTGATCTACACCTATGGTTCCCTAAGTGAAAGAAAGAAGAGGTAGCAAAGCTACAAAATGGCCACAGTGGTTTTACCAGTTGGACTAATAAGATAAGCTATGTGAATGGACCTTCTGGGTCCTGGGCGCCTCAAGTTGGCCCCTTGGCCCCGATAATTACAGTTTGAAGGGCGGTGTTAAGGTATATGCTAGATTAATAATCGAAACCTTAGCCACGCCCTTCCTGTAATTGATCAGTTTCCAAGCAACTGACTTTCTGTTCTGTCCTTATTAAAACTCTCTCACTCTGCAGTTGTGCGTGTTATGCAGCTCCTCCTTCCTTCAAACAAAGAACCATCCAATCACATTTCAACACAGCTGTTTCTCCCAGCTCACTTGTTTTCCCACCTACCGTATAATTACCACTCATCCTCCAAGCCGGCCTGACGATGGCTTTCCCCAACCGCCTCCTCGCCCACTCAACATGGCGCTTCCTCGGCCTCGGCCTTAGTACTACCTTCTTTGGTCTAGGAGCCTTGGCCATACTCTCGCCACCTGCTGCTGCAGACTCACTTGGAGTCGTGCCTACTACACCCGAAGGCACCGCCATGGCCGAGAAAGGAATGGTCTTCCTTGGCATACGTGACGTTGCCGCAGCGGCGGCGCTGTTTTGGTTCTATCGTGAAGGAAAGGAGAAGGAGATGGGAGTTCTGACAACGGCGTGGACTCTGGTGTGTGTGACGGATACCTGTGTTGCAATGCAGGGCCCGAGAGGCTGGGATAAGGGAATATGGGCGCTATGGGGTGGCGCGGGAGTGGTTGCTTTTGTGGGACTCGGGCTGATGCAGTCATGAGCGCTATGGGTTGATGCGATGGTGCTGGAGACTCTTGACGGCCCGATTTACTCGAAAGAATGAGTGCTCGTAAACGACTTATTGCTAGTTAGTCGGAACCTTATTGTCAGGCAATTGCAACACTACTGGAATATTATGAGACAGTATCACCATCCATTCTTAACAAGAGGAGAATAATTGTTAAAGCCCGGCTCTGGTGCCTAACTAACACATCATTCAGGTGCGTTATGGACTGCCACTTGGAGTTTTCTGTAATATAGTAGAACCGCTACTCTCCGCCAAGGAGGCAATGATATTCGCAGCAGAATAGTTTCATTCGGGACACAGGCTATTAACAAGTTAATGTGCGCGTGCATACTCATTTTCTGGCGAGAATCGCCGCTCTTTTTTTTTTTCTTCTTCTTTTCTTTTCTTTTCTTTTCCCTTTTGGCGGCCGATTTTGTGAAGATCTTTTAGACCTTTTCCTGACCTCTTGAATACTCTTCTGTCAGGTTTCCCACGACCCCCACATGAATCGGGGAGATGGGAAACGGAAAACAGATTGAAAAAAGGTCCACTGCTAATATTCGCTTCCTAATACAGTGTCTCACGTACAAAGTAATTATCGTTCACGGCGAGTGATGACTAAATATGCCATTGCCTCCCACTATCTGAAGGAGACCACCCAGCCCGGTTATACAAGCCATTATTGAAGATAGATATGTTGTCTGGTAACCATCGGCCTACTCCTTGCAACCATTTCGTCCCCACGGTGCATGACGGCGGCGACCGGTACACTCTGGTAATACTGGGCACCATCAGACTCCCCAAACAATTTATTTACAACTTGCCCTAGACTTGCCCCATTCTGCCTCTCAGCCCGCATTATCTTTACACCTCCTGCTTCGTTGACGTGTTCCTTGGCTCCATGATATCGTAATAATGCTGCCAGAGAAGCGTAACCCTCCCTCACTGCTGACGACAATGCAGATCGGTCATTCCTGTCGACATCAAAATCTTTTCTAGATTCTCTCAGAATATCAATGACGTATCCATAAGTCTCGGACACTTTGTCCCTTTTGTGCTGCTTAGCATTGAATGTGTGGTACAGGCCGGCCCGGTACCGCCTGAACTCAAGGGTGATGGAGACACCCTCGAAGCGGGCAAGAAGGGGTGTCGGGTCCTGAGCATTCCCAAGATAGCCGTTGACAACCATTTCTTTGACTACTGCCCAAAGGCCGTAGAAAGCCGCTTCGCTGAGGGCCTCCATTCTTGTCTTGGTAGTTAATTTGCGTGGAGTATTGAAGTAGTCGAAAGCATCCATGTACGCTCGGATCTCGGCTTGCATCTCGTCAGGGTCGAGGACCCAAGTCTTAAAAGCGTGGTGTTCCATAGCAGTCGAAGGCTCCTGGATTGCGCAGCGTGCATGATGGCCCCACCACATCCTGGCATATTCGAGGAGCGCAGCACTCACCCGGGTCCCTGTACCTTTCATCTTGTCTGACATTGTCAGATACGCCACGCACACTCTCGTCATGTAGGCATCCGCACAGGGAAGCCAATCCTTGGGCCCAGTTCTTCCCCAGTTGCGACCTTCATGGTCTTTCCAGGTCGCAAAGAATCCATTCATTGTGGAATGCGCCAAACGAACCCACGCTAAACTCATCGCGTCAAGAAACGGAGCTGCGCAAGAAACAACCTGCTGCAGGTCCCGGTAGTTATCCTCATAGAGTCGTTCTGATCCAGGCTCGGTGGCCAGAGCGTGTTGAAGTGCAACTCGGTCAAGACAACTGGACGATTTGAAAGCACGGGTGGCCCAGGCCAGGGACTGGTGAGCCAACTCTCGAAATTCGGACCCCTCGATCTTTTCCATGGCAGCTTCATATATAGGAAAAAGACTTTCTCCTGGGCGTAGCGTAATTCCTCTTAGGAAAGTTTGTATTTCTCTGACGCTGACTTTGGTTTTGATAGTGTTCAACAGTGCTCGTGCCGCCAAGAACCTTGAAGTTTGTCAGTTGCCATGGAAATTCATTCCACAACACAAAAGGTTTGTGAACGTACCTTCCATGTGATGCTCTCACTACTGCGGTGACTATACTTTCTCGCAAGTCGTGATTGGCAATGAATGTAACTGGAAGACTTGATAGCTGTCCTTCGATGAACATCCTGAGATCCTTCTCGTCCGCAGCGACTTCTAATGCCACGGCGCCAGCGAACATATGGAGAATGTTGTGACCAGTTTGTGTGGTAATCAGAATATTCACGGTTTCAATACCATGAGCCCTTTGGAGATAACTGACGATTTCATGTCCTGCAACCATGCGAACGCTTTGAGTGTCTTGGGTGCATTCGTTTAAGGCATCGACTACCAGGTAAACCGTATCAAAAGCTTGTGACATGATTTCTAAGCCCGTGAACAGTTCTTCGAGCGTCGGCGTCCTAGAAGACACCCGGCAGGACTGATACATCTCTCGCAAGTCGGTCGGGAGGAAAGGCCTTTGCTGAGCGAGTTGCTTCACTATTGTAGACAGTATTTGTCTGATATCCGTGGTGGAATTACAGTAGATATAGGCAGTTGCGGCCCTGAGAGTTTCCATATTTTGCGTTTGAAGATCGTCGACAACTAGGGCTGCGAGGATGGTTTTGCCTGTTCCGACTCCTCCCCGGACAATCAAGGTCGAGCCTTGTTTCCTTCGCCATTCGGTGTATTTGGGTGACTTGATTAACCAGTCTCCCGTCCCCGGTTGGCGCCTCCTGGAGTACTGCAACTGCAAAAGACTGAAGTCGGCATTCGTTAGCCAATTCAACAACTCTTGATCTGCTTGTTCTTGAAGTCGCGATTCTCTTGTTTGGACAATGTCGAAAACTGTGGATACATTGAGACTCTGCTATTGCCAATAGAGATATTCTTGGTAGTACTAACGAGGTTGTAACAGGTCTCCAATGTCGCTCAGCCTCTGCTGTGCCTGTACTTCCGTCGCTGGAATATTACAGAGAAGCTTCTTCGCGTAACAGGCCACCGCCATAGCCGCAAACTTTTGCCAATCCTGGTTTTTGTGACTGTCTGAGTAGTCACAAATACCCCGGATCACCAGTGTAGCTAGCTGATTCATCATTCCCGCCGCCTCCATCTCAAAGCACAGGATCCCTCTTTCTGCTGCCAATCTGTCGCGAACCCGGGCATCTTTCATTAGCGCATTTCCCGACGCAATCACTCCATAATGTACGACCGGTTCATTATCCTCATCTCGTGGTGGTCTTGCGACTAGATTATGTTGAGTCTGGTCGTCTTCTTCCGTGCAACATCCCGTGCTCGTATGGATGAAAGCAGATCTATACAGCCTGTCGGTGCTGCCATCAGGGTATTCATACTCCTGTCGCCTCCGGATCCCAGGAAGCCTTCGACAGGCGGAAGACACCTCTTGCGACAAAAACTGTCCACGGATTGCAAAATCCGATTTGAGTCGGGCGATTGCCGACAGGAGGCCGTTGGGCGGTAGGTTCAAAGTTCCTGTCTGTTCGAATCCCCTTCCCTGCAGTGCTATTCCGTAGTCGTACTGTATCACAGCCGTGGTCCCATAGTCAGGGACACTGACAACTATGTCTCCCAGTCGGATGTCGTGTTCCCTGGTTGGAGCGCCACCACCGA